TTAGCGATTGAGTTTTCAAATATTGTCTTTATCATACTTGCATCTAAATAACAACTGTTATTTAGGTTTAGGTTGTATTCCCACAACATTATATAATTCACTAGTGTCTCTGTCAGGTACAATACTAGTGTTTTAAATTTCTGAAGTTCTTACTCTTCTTGCAAATTGGGGCATCTGTTACACCTCATTAAATCATTCTTTGGTTTTCTTACTGAAATACTCATCATATTTCTTTGTATATTTGTAAATGTCTTGTCAGAATTGAAAATCTTTGTGTTACATGTACAGTATGAAATAGGGACCATAAACAAGTCCTAGAATGTTTAGACTATCTCCAAATGTCAGGCAAAGTGTGAAATGTTACTTCATTTAATGCTTTTTCTGGTCATCATACACTTCCAAACATGCTACAGAGGATAGACAATGTGTAAAGATAAGTTTAACAGTGTTGAGAAATTCTGTTCCTATTCTCACATTTTTTTTTTCTTGTTTAAGAAGACTGAGGAGATGCTGATGTTGTTTAGCAAACAGTTGATGGACTCTATTGCTTAGGTGTGAACAGTAACATTTTAATGTAGTTACCTTGAAGATCACGGTTTTCAACATACCATATTTTTAAAAAGCCCAAAACTTCTGAGATTAAACGGTGTTCAAATAATAAATAAAAATTACTTAGGTCTTTTGCTACTTAGCAATCAGGTGAAACTGAGCAATGATTTGTGAAATATCTTGAATTTCTCTAAATATAAAATACACTCATGTATTTAAAAATACTATGTCAAACTAAATGATATTTGGGTTCATCTTAGTGTAACAAAGAGTGATATTTTGAAATAGCAATCAGTGTTTTATCTCATTCATGTCAAATTTTAAAATACTTAATATTTTTATATTTTAATTATTTTCATTTCATTAGGATTTTTATAAGGAGGAGTTTAATGTTCTTTCAGTGATCCACTTTTTGTTTGAAAATGTCTGGTTAATATTAATAGCTTTTAATGAGTAGTAAAAGTCTAAGCAAATGACATAGTGTGTTTTAATAAATTCATACTACTTTATTTAAGGAGGTACAGTAATCCCTCCCAAGGCAAGATCCCTAGATGTAATATTTTAGTTTGCACCATTCACTTCTGTATGCTTTTTTGACATTTAGAGATTTTATTTTCATTATGTGAAATATATGTTCCTCTATCAGTAGTATTGAAAGAAAAAGGAAATTGGAGATTACAAGTAGATTGCGAAGAAGTAGAAGTTACTTTTGCATATTTTTGCAATGAAGCCATGGTAAAAATAAGTACAAATAAGAACATGGTCATCACCATCTTAGGGATGTATTCTGGTGGCATCACAGCAGGGAAAGGGCCTCAGAGATGAGGAAAAGGCTGATAGGAAGTGTTTTGGCATTGAGTTGCTTTGGACATGAGCAGGACAGATAAGCTGACATTCCCTCTCATGTATCTAAATTATTCTGCATCCCTGCAACTGCAGTAAGAGTATGCAATTTTGAGTCATAAAATCAGATGAGACTGAGAAGAATACCTTTAAGTGTTCACATTATCTAAAACAAAGCAAAATGAATTGGCAAGTATCTCATTTAAATTCTACAAAAAAAAATAGCAACCATGAACTGTTTCTGTCCAGCAATAGATGGTAAATCATAATTAGTAATGAATGACTTCTTATTACTTAATTCACATGTATATAAAACCATTTTTTCTCTTTATTTTGTGTGCTATACTGTTTTAAGAATATGAAATTATGTGCATGTCACTCTGGGCTTTATTTTTGGATAAACTTTCTTTTCTAAAAGGTATTAAACTGCTGAAGTATAAATTATCCTGTCATATGAAAAGTGGGGTTTCTTGTGAAGTTTTAGAAATTAGAAAGAATACCTAATGAAGGTAATGTGACAATTTTTTTAATGCTTTACTTAAAACTGTCAAAAATTTAAATTAACTAGTAAACTTTCTATAACATCTGAACCAAACCCTTACTTGTAGTTTATTTTCTACATCACTGAGAATTAGATTGGACATACAAAGGAAGTCACACTGACTTGGGAATCAGCAACTATGGAAGATAGGACTTTGTTCTGTTACTGGCTGAGTGAGCTTAGGTACACTGTTGACTTCACTTCCTCCGTCTATACATGAAAGATTGACAGTGAACTACCATTGACTGAGTGCCTGCTCTGTGTTAGGCAGCATCATTGCTAACTTTTATAATAGTATATTATACCCATCTTATAAATGAAGAAACTGAAACTCAAAAGGTTAAGCAACTTACCCAAGGTGACACAGCTAATAAGTGGCTAATACTGAGGTACCAAACCATCTGGATATAAAGTCCATTTAGTTTAGTCCACGAATTTATAATTTTCTGAATTACATCTATTTCACTTTGGGAATCTTGGACCTGGCCATTATCTGTGTTTTTTTGAGTACCTTTTTTATTGTTGAGAATTCTTCTGAAAAACTAAAATTGGTTTTAACTGAGCACATTTTGGGCAATTGTTTCTTGATATCCAAACTGTAACATAAACATTTAGCCCAGCTGAATTTAATATAAGTAATAATTCTGCTATCTAACCATGATATTAAAATGTCTGTATATCCAGCACAAGAGGAAGCACATCCTGCAGGGCTTTCTTTTTTTTTTTTTTTGTCCTTTTTGTGACCTGCTGCACCACGCTCAGCCAGTGAGCACACGGGTCATCCCTATATAGGATCCGAACCCACGGTGGGAGCGGCGGGAGCGCTGCTGTGCTCCCAGCGCCGCACTCTCCCGAGTGCGCCACGGGCTTGGCCCCATCATAGAACTTTTTAAGCAAACTAACTGCATAAAGTCTTTCAAACTGGAGATAGACTATTCTTATCCATTTATATAATTGTTAAGAAAATTATTGAAAAATAGTGTCTTAATACCTCACAGTGTTAAGATTCTCTTTAGGATCATCTTATTGTCAAATTGTATGGTGTAATTATTTCATCAGGTGTTTGTCAGGTTTCAGATGAAGTCTCTCCACAGATTTCTCTATAGTAATAGAAGAATTAAAAGAAAACATGCAGTTTATAAGTTTGGTCTCCTGCTAGCATGGTTAATTCTTTATGTAAATAAATAGATTTTATAGAGTCTTGGTTTATCATTCACACCTATGTTAGTATATCTCTTCCAAAATATAATTCTATTGCTCTCATATTTTCCTCATATATTTCGAGGCTCAACTGTGTGAAAATATGTTTATGCTCAAAGGTTTCTTTTGTACCAGAATGAAGTTTAAATCTGACAAGGCTGAAGAGATTGGCAATGATCAAAAATATCTGCCCTGTTTTAGAAAGATATACATTAATTTCCCGAGAGGTTAAAAAATGTTTTTAAAATATAAATGAAATAGTCCCTGTAGAATCAGGGAAATAATAACAAGCCATTTTAATTATTTTTTAGAATTCAGCCTTCAGCATTCTTATCTTCTTATTACTTCTAATGACTTGGCTTCCTCTGGATGCTTACATCCCGGGCAAATCTTCTTACAGCAACTGCAGCCGTGCTTCATCTCTTGCCTCTACACTTTGCATCCAAAGATTATGGAATTTATAAATTGACTTTGACATCATTTGATAAAAGCGGTATAATATGATTAGCCCTTTGGTCTGAAGGTGTGATATCTGATTGTTATAACCTTCATAAGTCAGTTATGAAAGTTAAGTGGGGAGGATGGGATGGGATTGGAATGAAGTAGAATATACTCACCTCCATTGTAAACTCTGGAATTGTGCTTATTAGGCTTTATGAATTTTAATCCAGAGTTACTCTCAGTGATAACTCCAGCTTTATATTAACCTGTAAGTACTGTAAATACTTGTTTGATAATTTATGCATGCAGTTAGTGCTTAATAAAAACTTATTAAGTGGATATTAGTTAAAGAAAGGGCTTTCTTTAGACTTTTTTTGCATATTATAGTACCTAATGGTAGAATTTTCTAATAGTTGAATTGACACATTTTAGATCATTTTTGTTTAGTTTTCTTCATTTAATTATTAAAATCATCTTACACAGCAACATATGACTACATTTCCTTTAAAGACATTAAAATATTTCTAGATAAATTGACCTATCCCTAAATCTATTCTCTTCTCCAGAAGAAACCATTGCTACCAGCTTAGTATTTATCCTCCAGACATTTATTTGGGGATGTGTGCATGTGTGTGTGTGTGTGTGTGTATGCGTGTATGGGTGTGCACTACATACTGTATAGTTTTTTTTATGCATATGTGTTTTATATATATAGTAGCATGTCGTATATTGTTGATATCTTTCAAGAAAGTTTTTCAAGAGTTTGCCAGTTAGCAACTCTGGTTAATAATAGTTCCATAACATCATTTCTATCTCAGGAAAAACTGTGAAGATTATTTTTTTTGGCCTCTATTATTTAGCTCATTATCTCTCTCATCCATCTGTATTTTCCAATCCCTCCTCCCTCCCATATGCACTGAGTGCCTCCTCTCACCTTCCTTACCCTATCACTTAAACTTAGGAAAAGATTCCTGTACTTTACTTCGAACTTAAGTGAGTGCACTACTTAAAACAATTGTGTATTAATCTTTGCCACCAAATATAAAATAAAAAACTTTGTTCCAGCTAAAACTTCTAGCATCAATAAGACAGTAGGGGAAATGTTTTAGAGAGCATGGGGTCTCTTCTTTGTCTCTCAAATCTCACCTATTAGGTTCCTGCTCATTCTGTGAGGCCATGAAGCTAGCTCCACCAAAGAATATTTTGAAAGGAAAAAGTGCACATTTCAAATAGGCTTTACATTTGATTACAGAACCACTTGTCAGTGTTTCAGTTTATAATCTGAAATTATGGGCTACTCTGCCAGGAGCAAGGCAATGAAGTGTTAAGAAGATTGCTCAACATTTCCAGATGGAAAGGAGACAGGGTATCTGCCCTGAGAATATGTAAAAGCACATGCTGCTACTGCTGCTGTTATAAGGTAATAATGGCTGTAACACAGGTATAGAGCCGAATGGTCCTGAAACTATCAGAAGATATTGCAGGATGGAAGAAGAGGCCACCAGACCACAGCATGACCACAACCCTAAGAAAGAACTGCTGGGTTCCCTACCCCTGGAGTTTTGACTCCTCTGATGTCATTTTGGATCCTAAGCATTAAAAAAGTTTTGGCTGCTAGCTGTCTGTACCTTTGTAGTTTTCAAATTCATCATCCTGGTGCTGCTTTCTACCTTGAAAAATATTTACCTACTTATTAAATACCAGGCACAATACTAGCCATTTTGTATATTTCATATTTAATAAACCTGTCAGATTTAATATGGTAAAGATTAGGATATTGCTTTATGTGTGAGGCCATTGAAGTTCCATGTTGCCTAACTCAGTCGTTGTTTCATATTTCAAACTGAAAAGCCTGTCTTTTCCACAGCTTCTTTTCATGTCTCTTTTCCCAATCAATGTCAAATAGATTATTTTACAAGGAGTCTTGTATAACATTTTGCATTCTTCCTCTTACTGTCATTTTTGTGGAAAGTTTTAAAAATAAGCTGTAGAGTATTTATAATTAGGGATACTATGCAAATGTAATTTGCCATTTTGAAATTCTACCAGCCAAAACCCATTTAAATGCTTGCTGATAAAAAATTTATTTTCACTAAAAGCCTCTGCTAGCTAAAATAATGACCAATAGCAGGAAGCCACTCAATCAAGTCTGTTCACTGACTAAACTTGTTTCTCCATTTCCAAATTCTTAATGAAAGACCTGAGTTCTTTTGAGGGATTACATAAAGTATTCCTATCTGTTTAATAATGCCCTACCAGGGCTTTGGAAGAAGAATTAAAATTTTCTTTCTTTGCCTATCCAGTTATCTGATAGCCCATTTTATATAATGCATTCTTGTAGTCTGGCTTTTCTGCATTATTTTGTTGTTGCAAAATTAATTTTTACTACTTCAAATTATTTTCTGCTAAGTAAGATATTTACACAAGGTATAATTTACACAAGGCATATATTTTATGTTGCATTTAGTAAAAACACAGGGACCCCAGAATGACCTGCTTATGTATTTGTATTCTTAGTTGATATATTTACTCTATATTGATACTTGAACTCATCAAAGCAAAATTTATTGATAGAAGATAAGATTGGTTTTTTTGACCTTATATTTTTTTTGCCTTAACTCTAAGCATTTTGCTATGGGAGCATAATGGTATTTTGAGTCTGACAGACTATTCTAAAGGTATTAGATATTCTAAAGTTATTAGATATATTTATGTGTAGTATACTAAATATTCAGGAAATTTATTTGAAAATCAACTTCTTTTGAATTTTGAGTGAAGAATAATATTTAAACATGTTCACAGGTGAGATACTTCTGTTATTTAATGTGGTTTATTTTATTCACATAGTGGAGCTGTGTTAGTGAGTTTTGATTTTATTTTGGCATGGTGGGAGGTATATTGCTGAGACTCCAAGACCTTGTGCATGTACATGTTTTATCCCAGACCATCCTGCAGGTATTTGTGAAATGGTTTAGGGATAGCATTCAATATGCACTTGCGACTGATGTTTCCGAAACACAGGCAAAATCTTCTATGTCTATGAATGTCTTGGATTGAAAGGATCTTCAAGATAGTGCTTTCACTGCTCAGACTGTTCAGTAACTCAAATTTTATTTATTTATTTATTTATTTTGAATGGGACTTAACACTGAGCTGATCTTTTTAAAAAAATTATTATATAGCTGATTGTACATATCTGTGGGGTACTGGGGTACAGAGTTGAATATCAATACCGGTGTGCTATATGTCATGCTCAAATTGGATAAGTATATTCAACATTATACAATGTAATCATTTTGCCTGGCCCTTTACCAGTTCCTCCCTTACCCCTCTTTTCCCTTCCCCTTTCCCACCTCTGGTAACCTCAGTTCTGTTCTCTTCTTTTGAAAGTTCAATGTATTATTGTGATTGTTGTATCTTCTTTATTTTTCAAAACATTTATTTGTTTATTTTTTAGCCCCCACTTATGAGTGAGGATATGCAGTATTTCTCTTTCTGTGCCTGGCTTATTTTTCTTAACATGATTTTTTCTGCTTTCATCTGTGTTGCTTTGAATGGCAGTATTTCATTCTTTTTATGGCACAATAATATTCCTGTGTGTGTGTGTGTGTATGTCCATCGGACGATGAACAATTAATTTGTTTCCAGCTCTTGGCTATTGTAAATAGAGCTACGATAAACATGGGAGTGCAGGTATCCCTTTGACATGATGATTTACATTCCTTTGGGTATATACGCAGCAATGGGATTGATGGATCATATGGCAGTTCTGTCTGTAGTTTGAGGAACCTCCATACCATTTTCTATAATGGATGTACTAATTTATAGTCCCACCAACGGTGTAGGAGAGTTCTCCTTTCTCTGCATTATTGGCAGCATTTGTTATTCTCTGTCTTTTTGATAATAGCCAGTCTAACTGGAGTGAAATGATATCTCGGTGTGCTTTTAATTTGCATTTCCCTAGTGTTGAACGATATTGAGCATTTTTCATGAGTCAGTTGGCTGTTTGTATATCTTCATATGATAAATGCGTATTCAGTTCCTTTGCCCACTTTTCCATTGGGTTATTTGGGTTTTATTACTGTTAAGTTGTTTGAGTTCCTTGTATATTCTAGATATTAATCCTTTGTCAGATGCATAGATTGCAAATATTTTCTCCCACTCTGTAGGTTGTCTTTTCATTCTGTTAATTGTTTCTTTGGCTGTGCAGAAGCTTTTTAGTTTGATATAATCCCATTTGTTTACTTTTCCATTTGTTGCCTGTGCTTTGGGGTTCATATTCATAAAGTCTTTGCCCAGTCCTACTTCCTGAAATGTTTTCCCTATATTTTCTTTTAGGAAAACTCTTTTATAGTTTTAGGTCTTATATTTAAGTCTTTAATCCATTGAGTTGATTTTGGTATGTCGTAAGAGGTATCGGTCTAGTTTCATTCTTCTACATATGGGTGAATGACTCAAATTTTAGAGAATAAAATCTCATGAAGCCACTGGCAATATCATTAGTCTATCATCACCTTTGTATTCAGTCTTTTTGCATGTTTCAGTTACCTGCCCACCTGAATATTAGCCAATTTTCATTTATTTATTTAATTTCCAGCAAAGAATAAGAATGCTGTCTTACTCTTGAGGCATTTTGATGATAGCATACATTTTTTTCATATCTAGAAATGTAAATTAACACCGACATTTTTATTTTGTTTTTTAGAGCATCAGGGCATCAGGCCTTATCCTGTTGGAAACGATCCTTTTTGGGTCTCTGCTCCTATACTTTCCGGTAAGTAACATAATTGCATTTTTTAAATAGACATTTATTTTATTTTTCTTTGGCAGTATATATACTGTAAGCCTTTATTTACACACACACACACACACACACACGTGCATGCACATGCACAAACATGGGCTTTCACAAATATTTAAATTCTAGTTCTTGCCATTTGGATGACGTTACACAAGTTACTTAACATTTCTAAACCTTAGGTTTCCTCTTGTAAAATTGAGCTAATTATACTTTTCTTCCCAAGTTTGTGAAGCAGGTTAAATGCCTGAGTGAGATAACATATGAAGGGCATACTTGGTATGTATGCTTAGTATATACAAATAAGTATTAATCTCCTTTCTCCTCCCCCTCTATCTAAATCAGAACCATGACACACACCAACTAGTTAATGCTGGAAAATCCCGAATGGTTACATAGAAAGATAAACATAAAGAAATAAATGTATGTGTGCTACTCATGGTTTAGATAGTCATAGTAGACTCTTCCTATCACGCTAGAAACATGTCTGTAACCAGAAGATAATTACTGATTTTACTAATTCAATCCAACAAATATGCATTCAGCAGTTGTGTGCCAAGCACTACACTAACTTCTAGGAATACTCTACAAGTAAGATAAACTTGATTTCTGCTCTCAAGACTCATAATTTAGAGGAAGAAATGAGTTAGTACAATTATAATACAATGTGACAAATGCTAAGAGAGTAGTAGGGGCAGGATGCTGTGGAGGCACTGAGGAGAGACTCCTAACCAAGTCTTGGGAATAAAACATCACTTGCCAGTGATCTGAAAGATGAGTAGCTGTTGGAGAAGAAAACGAAGGGCTGCCAGGACACCATATTCTTCTTGGTTTTCCTCTTGCCTCACTTGCTGTCCTATCTCAGCCTTTGTTGATTCTTAATCTTCTCTCCCACCCCTTAGTACTTGGGCACCTCAGCACCGAATCCTTGTAACTTTTCTTAATCCACACTCTCACTTGATGATCTCATCTAGCCTCAATATTTTAACTACTATGAAGGTACTTCAAAAAGTTCATGGAAAAATAGAATTAAAAGATATGCTATCTACCCTAAGTGAATCATTGTGCAGTATATGCGTGTATTGAAACAATATGCTGTAGCCCACAAATATGTACAAGTAAATGTTAAATTTTTTTAAAAAGATAATATATATTTTTTCCATGAACTTTTTGAAGTACCCCTCTATTTATATGCCAATGACTGTGAAATTTATATTTCTAGCCTAGGCCTTTCCCCTGAACTCCAAACTCATATTTGATTGCTTACTTGACAACTCCTTTTGAAGGCCCAACAGAATTCCCTATCATATTCTTAACTGAGTTACTGATCTCTCCCTCTAATTCAGTCTCCCGATCTCCATTGATGGCAACTCTTTTCTTCTAGTTACTCAACATAGTCACTCAACATAGTTTCTCCAAGTTCATCCATGTTGTTGCAAATGGGATTACATTTTCTATTTCTCCTTAAAATAGATATATACTTAGATATAATCAATGCTGTGGTCTGACTGTGTCTGCCAAAATTCATGTGTTGAAAACTTAATCCCCAATGCAATAGTGTTGAGAAATGGGGCATTTTGAGAGGTGAGGGTGAAACCCTCATGAATAGACTAATATTATAAAAGGGCTTGATGGAGGGAGTTTGGTCATTTTTGCCCTTCCATCTTCCACCTTGTGAGGATACAGCAAGAAGGCCTCACCAGGACTTTTCAACTTCCAGAACTGTGAGAAATGAATTTCTGTTCATAATAAATTACCCAGTCTCAAGTATTTTGTTACAGCAGTACAAATGGACTAAGATAATCAGTTTTTATTTTTCTATAAAATTATCCATATTACTTATGTTTTCTAATTTACTAGCATAGAGTTATACATAGTAATTAATAATAGATGCAATACAATAGTATAAAGACTCCCTGTTTACCATGCCTGGTACTCTTCCTGGATGGAGAAAGTTATGCATGTTAACATTTAATCTTCCCACAGAACTACCAAACAGATATTTTACCAAAGTCACAGAATCACCTAATAAGGAAGCGAAATACCTGAAGTGACTTCAATAATTGGAAGAATAATCTTTTTGAGTGAGCGGGAACCGGTCTGTATGTGGGATCTGAACCCTCGGGCGGGAGCGCCGCCGCACTTTCCAAGCGATGCACTATCCAGTGCGCCACCGGGCTGGCCCCGGAAGAATAATCTTAATAATCTGAATATCTGCTCTTAATGTCATCATTCTTTTTTCTGAACATCTGCTGTTTTTAAATCCATTTTCTGCCCAGTAGCCAGATGCATCTTTAAGAATATCAAATCTAACCCATTATTCCTTTGATGGCTTGTCAGCATTCTCAGAATAAAGATTAAAACTCTCGACAGGGCTTGTGATATTAGGTATAGTGTGTTCTCTGCCCACCTCCCCAGCTTCATGTGATACCACTTTTCTTCTAACTTTCTGCTCCCCAGCTACCCTGACCTTCCTTCAGTTCTCAAATAAAACACAATCTCTCATGGTTGGCATGATAATGGCTCCCCAAAGTTGTCCACAGTCCTAATCCCTGGAACCTGTGAATATGTCACCTTACATGGAAAAAGGGACTGTGCAGGTATGATTATGTTAAAGACTTTGTGATGAGGAGATTATCCTGGATTATCTGGGTGAGCCCAAGGACCCTAAGTGAAAAAGGAAAGCAGAAAGGAGAGAACCAAAGAGATAGCATTGTGAAAAAGATCAGACAGCCATTGATGACTTTGAAGATGGATGAAGGCGGCCACAAGCCAAGGAATGAAGGCAGTCTCTAGAAGTGGGAAAAGGCAAGGAAATAGATTCTTCCCTATACTTCTAGAAAGAATGCAGCTGTGCCAATACCTTGATTCTAGCTCTGCAAGACCCATTTCAGACTTCTGGCCTCTAGAACTGTAAAATAACAAATCTATGTTGTTTAAAGTCACTACATTTGCTGTAATATGTTACAGCAGCTAAAGAAAACTAATACATCTCTTGTCAGAGGACATTTTCACTTACTTTTTCTTCAGTTTTGAAGAGTCTTCTTCTCTTCCATCCCCTCAGCCCTCCCCAACAATCCTTTTGCCTAATTAGTACCTGGTCATCCTTTATTTTTTTTCCTTTTTGTCTTTTTTCGTGACCGGTAACGGGATCGCAACCCTTGGTGTCGCGCCCGTACCGCAACCGGCAACGGGATCGCAACCCTTGGTGTCGCTCCCACACCGCGCTCAACCAGTGAGTGGACCGGTCTCTATATGGGATCCGAACCCTCAGCGGGAGTGCCGCCGCGCTCCCAAGTGCCGCACTCTACCGAGTGTGCCACCGGGCCGGCCCCCTGGTCATCCTTTAGATTTCTACTTAAGCATCACTTTTTCAGCAATGCTTTCCTTCATCCCCAATCTGAGTCAAATTCCTTATAAAAACTTTTCATGGAGTCCTGCTGTTTTTCTTCATAACACCCGTCTCAGTTTATAACTATGCATTCAAAAGAGTAATCACTTGATTAATGTCATTCTGTTGCATAGACTCTAAGTTCTGGGAGAGTAGAGGCTGTTTCTGTTTTGTTCACCATTGCTTCTGCAGTGCTTAGCACAGTGCCTGACACAATAAAAGAGTACAGGATGCACTGAAGGAATGAATGAAGCAACACTTGAATGAACTTAGAACTGTACCCTAAAATAGTGGTTATTGTCTTGTTGAAGCAGCCTCCAAGGAATCTGCTTGATTGTGGAAGACTTAGAATGCTGGCCCGTATTTGTATTACTTTATTAAGTGCCTACAGTTAGGCAATAAAACACTCTTTAACATTATTTTGAGGTGTTAGCAGAAATTTGGTTTATTTTTACTTATAAAATTCATACTTACTCAAATCAAGTGGCCATCTTAATACATATGGGCCTATAATCTATGGAAGAATTGTAAAGCCTCTTAAATGGAAGAAGTACTCTAGAAAAGTAGGACATTTGAAAGAATAGTAAATGTCAGGCTGCTAAATGTTCGAAGCAGTTGTTAGAGCCCCTTTCAATGAATGGGATCTAATTTTGAAAGACCTCTGATGGACCTGTACCTATGGTGATATCACATTACAGAGAAAAGGAGCAGAGAGAATGAGCAGTTTAAAAGAAATATAAAGATGGAACTTCTTGATAATTCCAATATGCCTGGGAGGAAGAATCCAAAAATGGAGGCTTGCCAAACAAATTTTACCCAACAGAAACAGCAGGATACCTCATCATGTTGACTTCATGCTTAGACAACTAGCTGTCTATTTCATTTTTCATGATGTAAATTCTTTTTGTAACTGCTTGAGATATCAATGTGTAGCTCCCAAGTTTATATTCTGTACTTTGGTTTTAATTAAGTTAGTGTTCATGCTCTGAAGAGAGAAAGAACCGAATTATTTAATTAAGATTTAGAAGTAGCATAAGATACAGGGAGAGAAAGGAGATTAAAATATAGCATTGGTTAAATCTGGAAAGAAAAATAATTTTATTTCAGGTGAGAGATTGGGTGATGCTGTTTTGGTAATTGATAATAAAGTATTTAGCTACATGGGGATATATGGATGTGCATGGATGTACATGCATAAAGTCTTCTGGACAAGAGAAAACTAACCTGGTTATTAGCCCAGGACTCATTGGCTTCCTTGGGTTTTTCAAGAAAGATGTTTGTAACTTTTGGCTAGTTTTGCAGTAAGGAAGACCTGTATTAAGTTAAGTGGTAAAGTGATTATGTAAATTGAATATAACCAAAAGTTCCAATCATTTGATGGTGTAAATGTGACCAATACCTTTCGTATTTGCTAAATATCTTACCTACTTTCTGTGTCCTTGGTATGGACTATACTAGAATTTCTCATAAAGTTTCGCTGGGGGTTACATGTTTTTTAAAAAGTATACTTGAGTAAAGTAGAATTGTTTCCAGGGCGGGCTAACTCCATGGAAGGAGACTTTCGGGATGTTCACTGTTCTACTGA